AATGATCTCGATTTGTTGGTGAAAGCAGGAAAGGGCGCCCCCAATCTAAAACTTCGGGAACCACCTCTTCTACCCCCCCCCCCCCCCCCCTGTGCTTCCATTTTACAAGTGTCATAAAACCAGTTGTTGCTCTCATGGTGGCGCGACAGTGAGTGGTTCGCCGTCGGGTCGACCCCGCCGCCGCCGCCGCCGCCACGCGGGACCGTCCGCACCGACTCGTACTCGTAGTAGTTGCTGATTGGCCATTCGGCGGCGCTCGGCTCGGCGCGCCGGCCGCGCTGCGAGTGGCCCACATGGTGCTGCCGCCTGGCGGTCACAGCTGAAGTTAGGAGCAGGGACGCGACACTGCACAGGTGCTGGCGATCAGCTCTGGGCAGTACACCTGGTGCCGCCAGCTGGCCGCCCGTGCTGGAGGTGAGAGCAGGGTGCGACGGTGCTGAGGGATGTAATCAATCGGCTGAAGGGACCGGAGTTATGAAGACATTGCCACCTACACGCGCAGTGTTATTGGAGCCGGATGTGCCATTTGCGTGGCTAAAATGTCGCACACTTGACAACTTTCAGATATTGGAAAAAGCAATCGAGATATCTGTAGTAATTGCTGATTGGCCATTCGGCGGTGCTCGGTTCGGCGCGCCGGCCGCGCTGCGCCAAGTCCAACAATTGTGTGGAGCTATTGTCATGCGTTAGCATAAATATCACGTCTCCTTTTCTGCAAAACACGAAATGTGCACGCAAAACGTACATCAACAGCCAAGTTCCAGTTATCCGCCAGTTGGTTATAGCCAATGCGACCAAACCAACGAACCAAACGCGACCAAATCGACAGTGCTGGATGGATTCGGGACCGAGATGTACTGCTTAGCTGCGCGGTCATGGGACGTTCCACAGCTACACCACAGCCCGCCACCTCTCCGAAATACACAGGATGATCAACGAGGTGGTGTTCACCTCGCGCCGCACGCGCAGTGAATCGGACGGAGCCCGCCCCGCCTTATCCTATTTCTGTTTCATAGTATTCAATGATGGTTTTAAAAAACTGTTCGGTCCTCCGTAGCTGGAAAATAGTGGCTTCATAATAGCTCAGTACGTTTAACGGTGAACGTCTATCCTCAGATTATTCAGCAAGGTGCCTTGTCTGGCACGGAGGAACAGTTTGTGGAGATGTCGACAGATAGAAGGGTTAGTAGATTTACTAGACTAGATTTAGTAGATTTTCCAGTAATGGGACATCTGCATTGGATCCATGCCGAGGTCTGAATACACGGTTTTTTAAACCCTTCCATCTGTTGACATTTTTACAAACTGTTCCTCCGTAACAGAATAAGGCACCATGCTGTATAATCTGAGGATGCACGCTCACCGTTAAATGCAGCGCGCTATTATGAAAGGGATCAAGACCACCAAAGCAATGATATTTTGACTATGTGGAGGAATCTGTGGCATCCCATTCTGATGCATGCATTATCTGTATTTTGGCCAGATTTTTACTCTGGTTTTAGCGTTGGCCTGCGAGTAATAGGTGGCATATAGCGCTCCATGGCATGGAAGCATTACCACAAGTGCCCAAATGGTAAGGTTTCCGTTGTCAACCATCGTTGGAGCCGGCAACATACGGTTTGAAATGGCGCTCTTCGCATAGCTTTACTTGAATGGACCCAAAAGCAGAGACCCGAACACGTTAGCGGAACTCTCGCAGCCTCATCGAAGCCCAATCCAATTCAGTGTTTCTAATTACATGCTCCCAAATCTGGAGAAACCGTGCGGAGCGCTGAAATGAGAACCGTTAAGTGCAACTAGTGCCAAATTGCTTCGAAAAAGGCCAAAGACGGCTCTTTCCCAAAACCGCAAGTGACTAGATTGTTCCCCACAATGAAAACGATCGTTCAGGGGTATTCTTAACCTCGTCAAGTTTATCAAAGTCGTAGCAAATCCAGCCATATTCAGTTGTCTGTTGCCTTCTCAAAGAGCGTTCTCGCTCACTAAGTAGGGACGGTGCTGGCCGCCAAAGTCCCAGCCCAGACACGATTATGAATGCCAGGTGACTGCCTCTGCACTTGTGCCATGTGGCTCTTGTTGATGTGTGGTCATTTTTCGTGGTCTACACCATCTAGTCAGTGGTAAACCAAACGCTGTTATATTATCAACATCCGCTGCAACCTGGTCAAAAACACTATTGCGGCTGCGTTAACCACCGCCGACTATGCAGGAAGTCGTCTCAAATTAAGTACTGGGTTCTTCCGCATATCTTGAGAGGCATATTTACGTCTGTGTTATATTGGTGGTCTCTAAAAAAGAGTGCAAGCCTTTTCATCACATTTGGAAAACTCCCCCCCCCCCCTCCATGAAGCAAAATGCCACACGTGAAGTGGAAATGTCCTCCAAAGCTCATATACCTGCGCTCATAGCGAGTTGGACATAATAAATAATGTCACTCACGGTGCACTCAACGACGCTACAAGGCTCACCGCAACCCCACAATCTGCCACCCTTGTGGCGGTCAACCAACGGCAGCGTTTTAATCAGCTCCTTTGACCTTGCATGTGCCTACCGCGTCGTGTTTGTATACAAATTCGCTTGTGCCATATCTCGAACGTGTGTCAAACCTGTTCGGTGTGTAATTTTCCGTTTTTCTGGTTGCCCTCTTAACTCGTGTCGATGGTAGATTAGTTTGTTTTTATTATAAATCGTGAATTCTAATTGCTATTTTACAGTGTCCTCTCAGTCGCTGTTTTCCACCATCCAACATAATCTAATAGTTCCTAGTTGCGATGCGCGACAGCGCCGCAACGGCCTTGATTTTCAGGCGACGACGCCTGGGGCACGTGTGCGAGCTCAGGCGATAGAAGGTAACGGCGGCCATCTGTACAATTATTGATATATATGGTGTAGGTGTACTTTGCTACCTAACGCTAGAAAAAATCATTGCACACCATTCGTCGTGTTTAAGGCGGCACAAATCGTAAATAATCTCAAAACAGGTAGAATCATGCTCCTACCTTCGAATTTCAATAACTTCGATGGCGGGCTCCCGAGCGCCGCGCGCACCGCACCGCCTGGACTCCCCAGCGCCGCTTCTGCGTTTCCGTTGCGTAAATACAATATTTCTGCTTACCGAGAACTCTACAAAATGTACGGGACCAAGGTAAACCATTCGTCGTGTTTAAGGCGGAACATATCGTAAATAATTTCAAAACATATAGAATCATGCTCCTACCCTCGAATTTTAATAAATACGATAGAGTTCCCGAGCGCCGCGCGCACCGCACCGCGCCGCCTCGACTCCCAAGCGCCGTTTCTGCGTTGTTGCGAAAGCACGATATTTCTGCTTATCAAGAAACATAAAACATGTACGGGACCAAGGTAACAATAATAAAGCAACCAAAATCGTTTCTTATCGAGTTTAGGTACATTTATGAAACACACAGGCCAGAATAGTCCAGAACATATCCTAAACTAGCCTAACCTAACCTAACCTAACCTGACCTGACTGACCTGACCTGACCTGACCTGACCTGACCTGACCTGACCTAACCTAACCTAACTGAGAATAGACCAGAACCTAAGCTAAGCTAAGCTAAGCTAGCCTGACCTGACCTAAGCTAACCCAACCTAACTTAACCTGAGAATAGACCAGATCCTAAGCTTAGCTAAGCTAACCTACCCTAACCTAACCTAACTAACCTAACCTAACCTAACCTAACCTAACCTAGCCTAACCTCCCCACCCTATAACCCCTTCAACCCAGCATCCCATAGCTAAGCTAAGCTAAACTAGCCTGACCTGACCTGACCTAACCTAACCTAGCCTAGCCTAGCCTAGCCTAGCCTAGCCTAGCCTGGCCTAACCTAACCTAACCTAACCTAACCTGAGCTTAGATATAAGCTCATAGACCTTATGAGCTTAGATATAAGCTAATAGACCAGAACCTAAGCTAAGCTAAGCTAACCTACCCTAACCTAACTAACCTATCCTAACCTAACCTGACCTAACCCACCCTAACCTAACCTAATCTAACCTAACCTAACCTCCCCACCCTATATCCCCTTCAACCCAGCATCCCATTGGCGTCCATGTTCCATGCCACATATGGGTGCCATATAGTGAGCTTTTATTTAGCTGTCATGTTCTCATTTTGCTTTACATTCCCCACCCAATCCCCCTGCAACCCATGGTCCCGTTGGCGTCGAGGATCAAATTTCATGGATTCTTGTTACCTTGGCCCGGTACATTTTTATGGTTATTGATGCTGCTTGATGCACAGTAATGTTGTGACCCGCGCAGTAATGGCGCCGGTGTCGCGGGTGCTGTGTGTGTGCGGCGCTCGGGAGCTCGCCATCGTAATTATAAAAAATTGAAGGTAAGATTATGAATCTACCTGTTTTGTGATTATTTACGGTATGTCCTGCCTTAGACACGACGAATGGTTTACTTTGGTCCCGTACATTTTGTAGAGTTCTTGGTAAGCAGAAATATTGTATTTACGCAACGGCAACGCAGAAACGGCGCCAGGGAGTCCAGGCGGTGCGGTGCGCGCGGCGCGCGGGGGCCCGCCATCGAAGTTATTGAAATTCGACGGTAGGAGCATGATTCTACCTGTTTTGAGATTATTTACGATATGTCCTGCCTTAAACACGACGAATGGTGTACAATGATTTTTTCTAACATTAGGTAGGAAAGTACACCCTGACCATATATATATATATATATATATATATATATATATATATATATATATATATATATAGTGCGACCACCAGTTGTGTCGATGGCCGGAGATAGCGGACGGACAGTGCTGCGATACCCTGCCATTCTCTTTCCCGTCCCCCGGCAGGTGCAGAGCCAGCGGCAGGGGGCGGCGGCGGATAGAGACTGCAGTGCCGGGCGGCTCCAGGACGGTAGCACCAGCCCCCGTCCGCCCCTCGCCGGCGCCGCCTCAGTCCCGCGCGAGCCTGCCGCGGGCGCGCGCGCGTCCGCACGCTCAGCACCGTTCGGACGCGCTATGGCCGCGGATCGACACGGGTCGGCACGGGGCGCCCTGCAGGTGGTCTGTGCACTCGGAATATGCGTGTTCCTAGGCCCGGCGGCGGCGCGGGTCAGGGTGGGTGGCACTAGCGGGGCACCCAGTGACCGGAGTGGACCCGATAACCGGAGTGGACTCGGCGACCGGAGTGGACCCGATAACCGGAGTGGACTCGGCGACCGGAGTGGACCCGGTGACCGGAGTGGACTCGGCGACCGGAGTGGACCCGGTGACCGGAGTGGACTCGGCGACCGGAGTGGACTCGGCGACCGGAGTGGACCCGATAACCGGAGTGGACTCGGCGACCGGAGTGGACCCGGTGACCGGAGTGGGCTCGGCGACCGGAGTGGACCCGGTGACCGGAGTGGACTCGGCGACCGGAGTGGATCCGGTGACCGGAGTGGAGTCGGTGACCTGACCCGGCGTCTGTCGCGCATGTCAAGATCGGCGGAGGGCGTGGGCTTCACGCGGCCGCTGGAGGAAGGTCGAATCATGGCCGCGTCTGTTGGAGATGCCGCCATGTCCAGTGGCGCCACCACAACAAAGTCAAGCAGCCCATCGCCCTTTTCTGGCCGTCCGGCGGCCTCTGGTGAACATCTGGCGACCTCTGATGACCCCATGGTGACCTCCGGCGATAGTCTAGCGGCCCCAGGGGACTGTCTGAGCGATGTGTTCATCAGCGTCAAGACGTCGGGCCAGTTCCACGCCACCCGTCTGCCTCCCATCCTGGACACGTGGTTCAGCCGCGTCCCCACTCAGGTACGGACCCTCGGAGTGCCCTTACGCGAAGGCAAACAGCACCCACATGCCGCAGTGACTGGCATCGTTAGGTCACTTGTGACTGTAAAGCGGCTGAAGTAAGACCAGATCTCGCCAAGCCACTGTCGGCCACAGAGTGCTCCTGGCTCACCAATCGCAGCTATATCGTGATGTACTTCTACTGCAGTAGCAATGGTGTTGTAGGTGCAATCCTGATGGTGCACGCTTAGGCTACAATGCGTCATAAACGCGACACTTCGTAAACCATGAATGATAGGGTTCAACCTAGCCTCGTCATGGGCAAATTAGGGAACAAACATTGGCGACGAAACTGGGGCAGTTTGCACGACTATTTTTGGCATGTGACATATGATGGCGTAACATTCCTGAGTGTGATAGATTGCTATTGACCCACCGGGCCCACCCAAAACTATGCTGGGTTTCCATTCCGTTATGAAGAATGCGGGGTCGCGGCACCACGTGGGCCTCGGTCACGTACCTGCAAGTCAGGTGCCGTCGGGCCAGATGACTAGAGATCACGTGACTACAGGTGACGTCTACAATAGCCCGGTCATTGCTGCTTGCACCGAACATTCTTGTTGCCTGTGTATGTGTGAGGGTGGGGGGTGGTCACGGAACTACAAGTCCCGATACTGCAGATGATGCTTTTTCAATCCAGGAAGCCGCAGGTCACACGCATATGCAGGGCGGCTGAGTGTGACCGGGCTGCGGTAACACGAATGCACGCCCGTGTTATCGCGTCTCGGAAAAATGCATTGCATTCTTGGCCAGCGCTGGTCCTCTCGATAAGTTCAGTAAATCACTCCCCTGCCAATTATGGAGGCCGGCGTCTCACCAGCTGCTTTGACTTGGACGCACTGTCAGGGGCATGGGGCTGCCTTCAGGGCACGAGCGGGGCCACGTATTTCATGGCCCGGAAATGCATATGGGCATGTTTTTATTGCACATCAGGCCGTCCAAAGGGACATGTTAAGTCATGCTTCATAAAACTGCACACGCCTAAGCGTGCCATGTTACGATTTAAGCAGTCCCTCCAATCTGCTATTTTGATAACGTCCGGTATACGATGTTACACTGGACGGTTCGCGTATTCGTGCCAGGTGTGCTCTCCAGGCCAAGTATTGGCGACGATTTCGACTAAGACATGATACTTATTGTTTTCAGCCGCAAATTGTGTCCAGGTGTCTGCTGGCATAGACGTTGCGTTCAGCCATCATTACCTGCACGTGTGACATGTGCGTGGATTCAAACAGAATGAAGCGCTTTTAAATGTGTCCAGGACACCAGCAAAAACAAAAGTCCACACCTGAACAGTGTGATACGCATGTCAAGAGTTTGCATATGCAACTCATCCTTACCTTATGTACCTCCCGCCTACCTACCCAACATCCTCACCTAACCATCCTTGCATCATGTATGCCACTGTGCTGGAGGACCAGATGACAATCGCATTGAACATTGCAGTCAGCATGAGTTAGCATTGCAACAATTTGTGGGCTTCAACGAGCTCAGAAGTTACTGACGACAATTTAAAAAATAATAATCTTGCAGCGGTAAGGTGGCCGGACTGGAGTCCGGGCCTAAGGACGCTCGCCCGTCACCTGCCGCTGTGATTTCCGGAGCATTCAAGCTCGGTGGCCGTTCATTTGCTTACCTGAAACACTGGCATTGGTCAAGCCTGACTGAAAATCTGCATTTTCTTGGCCTGCGCACGTGTGTGGTGCGACCGCGGGGAAGAAACGCGTGCACAATGACTTGACGGTCCACTGTCCGGTGGCGGCACGAGCGATGTGCACCCATCGACAAACTGCACCGAATGATGACTGCTGATTGGGGCGGGGGGAGTTGAAGTGCTCCGTTTGCCGTGGTCATATGATGTCTACTGTGTGATGTGATACAGTCTAGTCTGCAGCCGCCAGAGGGACATTTCACCCAAGTGCCGTAGTAGCAGTTTAGCTTAGTTTGTAGTTGCTATTTGTAGTTGGGCGCCGTTCATGGCAGCTCAGTTCTCGCGAGGTCGACGGCATACAGTTGGGAGGCTCGTCCCTGCAGCGTGCTCTGCGAGGCCGGCCGAGCCTGGCCCGACCCGCTCCTCTGTCCCGCACCCCGGAAGGCGACCGGACGCTCTTAGGCGCGCAGACACTCACTGAGGCCTCCCCCTCTGCGGGCAGGTCGGCTCGGCTTCGACAGATAGCGACGGCTTCCAGTCACCGGCCGCGGTCCGTGGAGGGGCTGGGGAGAGGGAGGGGTCGATGCTGACAGCGTTTGCCGGGGGAGGGCTGACCCTCACGCGAAACGTGCCGCTCGCGGTGGTCGCAAGAGTCCTGAGGAGGATTCGCGAAAACATGCCCACCCAAGGCCTAGATGTGGAATTGTGGAGGAAGCATAAGACTGCAGGCAGATGGAAGAACTGTAGTGCTGTGTCATGCGTGTCTTTAAGCTGGTCAATGGTCTACTTCTTTTTAATGTTGTGCATGCAGTGTGCGCGCTAAACAATAGGCGACAAGACATGCTACAGCAAACACACTGCCATTGTGCAAATTTGTTTTTTTACAGCACCGAGGCAAATTGTCCTGCAGCCTCTCCCGGGCAAACTATTAATGTATTTATGAGCTTCAGTTTGACAGCGGTGTTGAGTAAGGTAGGGCATCTGGAAGCATACAGAAACCAAGACAACTGCATGGCTGCCAAATTTTTGAGTTGTGCGCCCCATTTAAATGGACCAGTTATAAACAAGCTTTTTGATGCGACATTGTGAGTTAGGCGAAATACGAGCGCCAAAAGCGCTGCACAAAACGTATGCTGCGTTTCTGCGTCGAACCGTTCGTAATGACCATGCATTCAACCACCGCTGTGTTGTGTCTACAATGTGGCTGTGTTTCCTCACATTGACTTCGGTTCATCTTCCGCCATCAGATTCGTGAGCATGGCAGTCCGAGTTCCGTGAAAGTGACCGCATGTTTTCGTTTTCAGACGTGGTTTTTCACGGATCAGGAAGATCCGGAGCTGCGGCAAAGAACGGGTGAGATGTATGGCTGACAACACTTTGTAAACGTGAGGCATGTGTGAACATGATACAGTTCAACTGATGACTGGGAAATCGCAAAATATCCGGGTTTTTTGCCACACATGCACTGTCCGCATGAAATTCCTTTAAACTTGTTTGTGTCTGTTAGAATGAGAAGTCGAACTGTAGTTCTGAACTGTAGGTGTATATAAGCCGATGCTAGTGTTCCGTAGGTCCTCGCGACGCCAGCTGATGTGTGTCGCGACACCAGCTGATGTTAATGCCTGCCGACGTCGCAGCGGAACAGTGATATGTGTGGTGCCCATGATAACCTATATCCGACCTCATAAAATGAAGAAGAACTTTTCTTGCCTGATGCGTTCAGAAACCCTTACAAAAAAGCGTCAAAGAAATGCGATATTTCACGCGGCATGTCATGTTTGGTGCAAGCGAAATCGAGCGGTTATCTTTCCTTCTAGCGTGAGTTATGAAAAAATATAGTATAAGGGTCCATCCAGAAATCACGGTACGCATTTTTGACTATTTCCAAACCCCCTCTCCCTGGTCACGAGCCGGTTACGTTGGGGTACCCCCCCGCCGGTTACGCTTTGTTAAGGTAACGCTCCCAAAAAGTAACGTCTGTGTGGCTGCAATTCAGCGATAGGTGCAAAACAGATAGCGGGCGAGTTCCATGTCATGTGAGGAAGACAGAACACCCGGCCTTGAGGGTTTAAGTTGGTTTTCAGACTTTCATCTGTATTTACGCTTTGCAGTCACACTTTAGCGCGACGTTACGCTTTTTCAAAACTTCCGATCCCTCCCTTGTCACGCTTCTGTTACGCTTTATCAATGTTCTCCCTCTTTCCCTCCATGCGTAGCGTAAGCTATCGACGATCCCAAACCAATTGACGGAAGGAAGATAATGTACGCGTTACGTAGGGCTATAATGTATCACCGGCCGACTTCAATGATAATTTTCTGCCGCTTTCGGGAGTGATTCTCTCGCTCTCTACTCAGCTTGCCGGCTTCTGGAGAGCTAATTATTTTCTTAAGCTGAAGATAATTAGCATTTCAGCCCACTCATGAAACACTGCCTTTATCTCCGTATGTCGGCACTATTGTAAACAGATTATTCTCAATGCATTCTTTCCCGCTGCAGCAAACCCTGAGGTTAAATATACATTAGTGGGCCATTGTCCTGCTGTAAAACAGAAGGACCACTAGCACAGGCCGGGAAGAGAGGGCGGGGATTTGTCGAAGGTATAATTTAGCTCCGGGGTGTTACGCCGACACCGTAAAGACGCGAGATTCCAACAGCGAGCCACGCTGCGCGCGCAGTAATTGCCCCATGCGTTGCAGGAGGTCAGGTGATCAACGCCCACTGTCCGTCGTCACACGACCGAGACGCTCTCTGTTGCAAGATGGCCGCCGAGTACGACGCCTTCATGGCGTCCGGCAAAAAGTAGGTTCAACTGCGTCGTTCCGTGTGCAGAAATGTTAACTGCTGCCCCTACGTTTCTTCTTCCTGCGCCGTAAAGTTTGAAGCGTCCATTCGCATCTGTACGGAAGTGCAGGGTTGTTGGCGATATCAACGGTCTCAATGAACTCGCGAGTGTTTCCAGTTCGGATGCCAGGTTCCCTGTGGGGATAACGTATCGCATGTGTTTCTGCATGCTGCCATGAAGCACCCACACGCCAGTCGCTTTCGCGATGCAGCTGCAGCTGCTCCTCTTTGTCCCACGGCTCCCTAATGAGGAGGGAGTCAAGTCTGACTCATCCGTGGCGAACTCCTACCCCTACAGTGATTTTGAGCGCAGCAACCACGGGCTATACTTTTCATCATGGCGACAAGCTAGGCAGGGACTTGAAGTCATATGACTATTCGTGTGCGACTGCGGCTTTTCATTGTTTGCTATTGTTTGTTTGTCTGAGTCGGCAGTCTCCGTTCCGAAATTAATTTGCCCGGGCTGACTTCTGGCTACACGCTTCGAGGAGGGAACCGTACTGTTTCTGGTCATTCTAACCGGTTGATTAAATCCAGCTAGTCAACTGATGTCGCCTAACATAAATACGCACGGCTATAGTGCATGACGAGCCGTTGTTCGCTGGGCTCCGACGTGAAGAGAGCGGACGGCGGCCAGCTGTTTTTCCGACCTCCACCCGCGACTGGCCGAAATTAGGTGAGCAGGTGCCATCGTGGCGGCCTCGGCGTTTTTGTTGACCGGCGGTTTTTGCGCCGGACAGTGCGGGAAGCGGTACGGTCTCCGCGGCAATCACAGCGTGGTGCGCCTCGCCCGCCATCGCAAAAGGGTGACGCACTGATGACGGGAGGTCCTCGGGATAGGAGACCTCCGCGCTTTTGTCCCCGTCTTTCTGGCTGGCTGGCTGGCTGGTCGTCCCTCCGTCCGTCCGTCCCCTGCCTGTCCAGTTATTGCCAATCGTCGTCTGTTTTGTTAAGTTAGTGTTTGTCCGCCTCCCTATCTGTCTGTCTGCTGTCTGTACGTGCGTATGTATGTAATGTGTATGCAGCACGCGGCTGCCGATTCCATTCTACGGTATTTAATGACACGAGATTTAAGTGAATGAGCCCACTCCTCACGAGTGTAGCGCGCAAGAGTCGATGCGTGCCCGCCTTGCATGCACATTCACTGATCTGTGTTCTTCGCCCGTTCGGTACTGCCATACGAGGTTCGGCTGTGTCCGGGACCGCGAAAACCCATGCCTTGATGTGATGACCGGATGATCATCAAAGTGCGCAACAGCCACGTCTTGGCACTCATGCTATGTCCACACATGTCCCGACAGTCAGCCTGGTAATGGTGTCTTCTTCCCGTGCATACTTGAGACTGGGTGGTCAGCTGAAGTAATTGGCTCATCCTAAAGGGGGCTGCAATTGTATTTTTCATAAGACCCCGTAACTGATGCTCCCATAAAGGAGTATTTAAATTGAAATCAGTCCAAGCACCTGAAGTATTACAGCTTTGGTGACTAATCCGCGATCTTATGAACGACTAATCGACTCGACCTTTAACACTAGGAACGGACAAGCGTTATGCACTAAAGCGCCGTCCTAGTTAAAGCACCCCCAGTGTTCGCTACCCATCATGGCTGCTTACGGCCGAAACTTCGCAGGATTTCCATGCTACCAAAAAAGAAACCCATGGTGAAAAGGAAGTAATGATGTAGATCAGGAGGGTGCCTACCATATGCCAGGATATTTAAGACAAATACTTGTTGGATGGACACAATCCTTTCAACGACGAGTGCCAAGTTACGGTCCCAAACTGAGGTGGACGACAGAGCGCAGCTAAGTTGGAGATATTCGCTCGGACCACATGACAGATATCTGGGCATTTGTCATTGACCATGAGAGGCTATAACACCTTATTTCCGATAGGCTGCTTCAAGGAATGGGGCTCGGCCGATACCTGAGGAATGTCATTTTTGCTCTGCGGTATAAAGTATGAACGGTGTCAGCCGTGAGCGGTACCGAACCGTCGCCGCTGCGCACATGCGTCTGCGTCGGGACGTTTAGAGTGACAGGTTGGGGACGGCAGACTTGTGGCCGCCACCATGCTTGAAGTGGGGCAGCACTGTTTACAGCTCTGACTATCCTTGTGTTAAGCGTAGCTAGTATGTTTAGATCACCTAAATGAAGCGCACATTTTTAACACCGAACTACCTAAATTGAACACAAAAGTGTGCAAATGTGTGGGTAACTATAATAATTATGCAAGCTTTGTTGGGTATTAAGTTGAAACTATGAAGAACTATTCATTAAGCTCAGTTTGGTTACATTAGCAACTCACACACATAGGTGTAGGTCTTAACATATATTGGAAATGCATGTTGTAGATTGGAATAGTATCATAGGTGCAACGCTCAACACTGGGCGATGTTTGCCGACAAGCAGTGATTGTGGGTAACGTGCCTGGATCCATGAACCATCGCAACGGCTGCCGGCCACGCTAGCCAGCGTATTGAGAGCACACGAACGGTCGGGCGCCGGACGCGGCCTCACCCAGCCCGCTCTGGCCGGGCGGCTCCACCGGCTGAACGCGTTCATGGCCGATGTGTTCGCTGAGCGGCCGCGGCCTGCGCACTCGCCGCTCAGCGCCGCTCGCAGGTGGCGTGCTTTTCTGGAGCCGCCCCAACCACGGGCCGCCGAGCGTCCCCCCCCCCCCCCCACCAGGCCGACCAAGCGTCCCCCCTTCCCTCTCATCTGGGCACGACATCCGCTCAGCTGATCCGAACAGACTCTGCCAGTGCAGGCATCATGGCGCTGCTGGCAGCGGAGGGGGTTGAACGTTTTTAAGGCGGTGAATTGTGGTTAGCGATGTTTTAATGGTTAATTTACTGTGAGCACTGGCAACGGTGTTTATCGCATTATTTGGCGTCATATGCGACACAAAGCGGTTCATTAGGAGTACATTACTTTTGGTGCCCTATGTTTTGACCGCCGATACGCCTTGGTATGATGTGCAATCGTGGGCACTAAACGATTAGGTATGCCTATAGGCAGACCAGTGGCAGTGGTAAGCGTGTCTGATGGTTCTGTGCCTTGTCGCGTGCCGGCCATCATCTTACGACGATTTGGGCGCCGTTATTTGTGTATGCGCTTTTTGTGGCGTATGTGTATTAGCTGGTGATAAAGGTATTAAGTAAATGCATGCATTTACTTCAGGCAGTCATCCTACTACGTCTCCGGCGTCCGCGGCGTCCGTGTAGCAGCGTAACCTACTGCTTTAATTTGCTGGTCTTGTGGCCGAGTTGGTCGCAAGACAATGACTGACTTGCCGCTGGTTCGCAGGACTTCATTCTAGGGTCGTGGAGGTGGACGAGGCGACTATAGGCTGCAAGGACGCTGGTCGTCAGAACGCTCCCCGCCCCGCGATCAGGCCCAGCGGGCCCGGTCTCGGGACCACCCCAGACGGGGCGGTGCGCTGTGTAGGAACAGCCATGTCGCGGTGCGCGCCTTCACGGTGGGTGAGGACCGGACGCTGGACCTGACTTTGGGGCGACACCGGATTGTTTGGCGGTGGATACGCCGGGCGGGTTGCGTGGGCGACGGTTTCCGAGGCGACGCAGGCCGGGACTGGGGCCGGCTGCTCGATGCCGCGGTAAGGCTGAGGACGGACCGGGACTGGCCGCCTTCGCTGTCATGAGCGTGGGTGGGCCGGCCCTGACCCGGAGAACGAACCAGCAGGCGCGGCAGCTGCTGCTCCTGCGCAGACAGAACCCGCTGTAGTGGAGCCCTTGAAGGACGCCCTGCCGCCCGCGTTGTCAGCGGATGTGAAACTACCTCCGCATGCTGACACGTATAACTACCGGTGTCTGCCCGGTCATCATGAGCGTCGAGCCGGAGCTAGACTTGTCGGAGGAGGGGCTGGCTGCCTTCCGCAAGCCGCCTGCCGCCGTGCTGCGGCGCCACCTACGCCAACCTTACGCGGCACATAAGGATGGTCCACCCGCGGGTAGGCGACGGAATGCATGCTGTGTGCGGTTGTTGTTTGCCTTCACTCGCTTGTGCGTGTATCTGCCGTCCATGCGTCGTGCATGTCCACAGCAGTTCCGTCTGCCTTGTCTTTTCAGCTGTCGACTTGTGTTTCAGCTTGCCGCACGCGCGCCGGAGGAGGGAAAGCGTCTCCGAGCCACCGAGGCCGACTGCCCTCCAGCAGCGGCCAGGCGCGCCCGGCCACGCTGGCGCTGCCCGTCCGGCGCCAGTGACGGGCAGCACCAGTGCCCGGCGGTGGTCATCAACCTAACACGACACCTGCGGGTGCACTTCCCGGCAGGCAACCAGGAGGTGCGTACCATCGCCATTGTTTCTGTCATCGTTCGGACGTACGTTTCACTGTCTCAACACCGCGTGTTGTCGGCTTTTCGGCGTGTTCGGTGTGGCATCGTGAACCGTCCGTCCACAGTTCCAACAAGCGTACGGCAGTGCGGAGCGAATGGACCCCATGGCATCGGCGAAGCCTTAACATGGCATCTCAGACCGCTTCGCGATGTTCCTGCGTGGGGTCCGGGGTGGCTTCTGCAACGCAACAAACGCGCAGCGCCACATGCGGGCGGCAAGTGCCGCCGATGCCGGTCTGCTTCCCATCTGCTTGCTGCCATATGCTGTCACTCGTGTTTTGCGTGTCATCTTGTGTTAGCTTCGTCCGCCTTATCCGCCCCATGCAGCGGGGCTCAGAGTTGTGCTGGCGGCCAGCTGTCGTGTCACGGCGGTGCGTAATGCAGCCTCGTTTGCAGCTCCATCTCCTGCTGCCAGAGCTGCTCCCAGGCCGCCGTGCGGACCAAATGGTGATGCCGAACATCATGGCGGCCCTCTCCGGCCCCCAGCTGGCCATGGAGGGGCCCGACGGCTGGCTCCAAACACAACAGCGAGCCCGCAAGATGACAGCCGGCACGCTAAAATCTTCGATCCGCTGCTCGTCCCAGCTTATCACCTACTGCGCAATAGACTGCGAAAATCTTGGTCTGCAGGCGTGGCTGCCGCGCATGCCGCTAAGTGCCATCAACAGGTGATGTGTCGATTGTGCAGTCTGTCACGTCATCGTCACCGTTCGCTAATGACACGCAATTCACAGGCCATGCAGGAGCGGCTGACGGCATGGCAGCGCTCGATTGGGAGCAGCGCCGGCACCACGAAGCCCAGGCAGCACGCTTCGTCGACGTGCAAGTCGAGCAGTGCTTCCTGAGCGTAAGAGATTGTCTGCCGCTATGCGGTTGGGAGTAATGTTCATGTATGGCGCTTGTCTCGTGATATATGTGTCAGTACCGTCCGTATCCCGTCTTAGCCCAGCTGCTGTCATTGTTCGGTGCGCATTGTGCTGGCGTGTTCGTGGTTGGATGACATCGTGTCAGTCTTGCATTTCATCAGCCGTCTTTTGACTGACAGTCCGAGTACGTCACCGCGCTGGCGGAGTGCCCGCCGGTCGGCGAGTTCCCGCCACTGCCGGTCGAGGCCCGCCAAGCGCGTGACGATCTGATGACAGTGCTCATGGTCCTCTGCGCCGGCCGGCCCAGCCACGTCACTGGCATCGCCGCCTCTTCGGTGCCCGAGGCCAGGGTGAGCAGGCTGGCTGGCCGACGTCTGACTGACTGTTGCGCGCCACTTGTTTTGTGTCGATCTGTCTACTGTCTGTCTTGTCTGTTGCTGAAATGATGGTTTGAACGGAACATCATGCGTGCCTGCAGATCGTCCGCCCCGATGGCCAGCTGCGCCGGCTCACCAAAAACTACAAGTTCAAAACGGCGGCCAGCGCTACCCTGGAGGTGGCCGTCAGCCCCAAGTTGTGGAGCCGGCTGCTGCACCACATCTCGGCGGAGTGACCGGTGCTGCTGACGCCGGACACCGCCAGCAGCGACAGGGTATGCACAGACACCGGGCAGCAGACGCCGGACCGATTACAGTGTTGTCAGTGTCAACCAGTTGCGCTTTGCACCCTCACCTGTGTGATCAAGCCATTTGTTTTTTCACAGCTCTTCATCGGCGCGGGCGGCGGCCCGATGTCCAGCAGTAGCGCCGCCAAGGTGTTCAAGACGGCATGGCGGCGGGCCCTGCCGGACGGGGACGTCCCGACCTTACCGCCAGCGGCGTACACTGCGGCACCGTCGTGAGTACGGCGGCGGCAGAGCCGGAGGCGCAGGGGTAAGTGCACACCTGTCAGCCTCTACTCTGCACGCCTCGCCCGGTGTGTCACCCCAAGGTAGCCAACATGGCCAGTGTCGGTGTGTTTGCCCCGATGTGTCAATGTAGCCACCACATGCAGCCGTTCGTCATTGTCAGCGATACTTAAACGAAACGCCGCGCTTTGCGAGCTGACATATGTCTGGAGACGAATGCAAATGTGTCTGTTGCAGGGACGTGGCCGCGGCAATGGCCCACTCTGTGGCCACCGCTCGTCGCGTGTACGTCTTTGACGTCACGCGGAAAACGTCCCGTCTCGCCGGCATGGCTCGAGCGACAGCGGCTGCGTGCCTCCGGCCAGTCAAGTAGCACCGGCTCCAGCCCCCCAGTCGACGCGTGTTCCGGCGGCGACGACGTTGGCAGAGCACCAGTCAGCAGCAGCAGCAGCAGCAGCAGCGACGAGGACGACCTGCCGGCCGACGGCGGCTCCATTGTGCCGCCCTCCGAGGCGGCCCTGCCGGTGGGGTGGCAGGAAGACGTGGTCGGCCTTATGCCTGCCCGTCTCGCTGCTCAAAGTCAAACTTCGAAGGCATTTGTTTAAGGCCGTAATTTAACCACGTTCGTGTACGGTGCCTGTTTTGTGACGTCTACACGTAAATTGCATGCAAGTACGACTGATGTGCCGTTATATCATGTGTTCAAGTAAAGTACTTATTGGTTGTTCGCTGCTGGCGGCTGTGTTTGGTACCTGCCTGTTTCAAGAGCACGCTTATTTGCTCACAGACGGACCGGACGGGAAGAACGTGTGCTTAAAGAAGGAGAAAAAGAGAAAGAAGAGCGTTTGCAGTGACGACCCGCTGCCGCCGTCGCCCAGTCCGCCTCTGGCTGCAAACCCGCCGCACGGACTCCTGGAGTGCGGTAGGTGTATGGTGATTCTATCGTGTTATGTGACTGCCGTTCTCTTGATATTTCATAAGCGCTGTTCTGTATGCCTTTCTTATACCGCGTGTTTATTAAGGGATACGAGGTGATTCTGACATAAAAGGCATTCAATTGTTTTTCGCCGCAACGAGTCGCTGTTTAAGGTGTAGCTGCTCGGGTACGGATATGGCTGCATCGCCAGAGCGAGATGAGGCTGGCGGGCGGCTGTCGTGTAATTGCAGTGCGTAATGCAGCCTCTGTTTGCAGATCCGTCTCCTGCTGCCGGCGCTGCTGCAAGGCCGCAGGACTGAGCACATCATGATGCCTCACATTATGACAGCCCTCGCCGGTCCCCGGCTGGCCATGGGGGAGACCAACGGCTGGCTCCAGAGACAGCAACGAGCTCACGCCATGACAACCGGGACGCTTAAATCTGCCATCCGGTGCCTGTCTCAGTTGATTGCCTACGTGGCCATCGGCAGCAACAACCTGGGCCTCGAGGCGTGGCTGCCGCACATGCCGGTAAGTGCTCTCCACAGCTGGTGTGCCGACTGTGCAGGCTGTCGCACCACCGTCACCGTTCGCTTGTGACATGCAATTCCCAGGCCATGGTGGAGCGGCTGGCAGCCTGGCAGCGGCCACTGCAGCGTGCTGATTGTGAGCGACGACGCCACTGTGCTGATTCGGCCGACAGGGGCTTGGAGAAGAGGAAAAAGAAGCATCGCAGGGAGAAAAAGCAGAAGCACCAGAAGAAGGAGAAGGCGGCGTTGACCATTTACGAGCCGCAGTCGCCCCCCCCCCCCCCCTCCCCCCAGCTCGTCTCCGTCTTCAGACCGCCTCCCGGGCCTATGGACTGCGGTAAGTGTATCACAATTATGTCTCTTGTTTCGTGCCGCTTGTTCTCCGACGACAGCTTTTGCGCACCTCTTTCTGTGTGTGTTTATATGTCGTGTGTTCATTAGCAGGCTACGCAGTGATTTAAACATTGAAAGCATTCATTTAAGCCCGTCATTCATCCTTGCTCGTTTACGGTGCTTGTTTTTTGGTGTTTGTCGTTGGAGTGCATGCCTGTCTCACTGATGTCGCATTATGTCATGTTTTCCTGTTGAGTAGTTATCGGTTGTTCTTGGTTTGGGTGTTTTGTTTTGTATTGACGTGGTTGTTTAGCCTGCCCATGTTCCCACAGAGCCGGCTGCCGAAGAACGACCACCGTACCCAGCCTGTGTCTCCCCGACGACTACTCGCCTATGGAGTACGGTAAGCATGCCTGATGATACTATTTATTTCGATGTTTTAGCCATCTCTGGTAGCAGTACATTGACTTACTATTGTGTGCATGCTCTTGTGGTATGCGTATTGTACGCTGTGGGTGCATTAGACAATTGGGAAGTTGTCAAAAAAGGAAGGGGTCGTTTGATGCGCTGCTGTTTTCATGTTATAGTCATTGCCCTTAAAGTAGTTGCTCTATGTTTTCGACGTTTATTCCGTTTTCCGGTATGCGTCTAGTCAGCCTTTCATTTTGACAAGACATCCGATGGCCGACACTTATGGCACATGTGATATGTTTTCATCTAAAGAGGTTTCTGATCATCCATTATTGGCTGGTATGCTTTTTTTAGTTGCTTCATAAGCGTGCCTATTTGCTCACAGAGCCGGCTGCTGACGAACGGCCGCCGCCTTCCACCTGGTCGCCCCCGTGTTTGACGACTCTCCCATTGAGCACGGTAAAGGTGTTCAATGGCGTCATTACTTTAAGTTTGTCCTAGCTGTCTATTGTGGAATTTGACATGCAGTTGTTATTGTCATTATGTATGCATGTTTTAATTGTCCTAGCCGTCTACCGTAGAACTTGAGATGCAGTTGTTATTGTCACGTTTATTTCCCGTTTTTATACGAGACTACTCAGCCCTTAATTCTGCCAACAGAGAGAGCTCTGGCCGACAGCCAGACGCCACCGGCGGCGGACGCCGACCCCGACTGGGCCCCGTCCTCGTCCCCCTCGTCGGCATCGACATAACCGGCGCCAGCGGAGATGGAGGCCTCGGAAGAGGTTGACCGGCCCGGTACGTGTCCAGCTCTCCTCTCTGTGTGTGGCGGCGGACTGGATGTAAATGTGCTTCTGCCGCAGCTGGCATATCCGTGTGCCTACCCGTGTCAAACGGATCATTCTGTGTTGCAGCGCGTAAGCCGCGGCGGGGCCGGCTACGCAGCGGCGCTGGGAAGCTCCACAGGCACCCGTACCGCCTACCGCCGTGCCACGGCACCATGTATGCCATCCTGAAACGGCACATCAGGATGGTGCACCCGCGGGTAGGCGACGGATTGCATGCTGTGTACGCTTCTTGCTTGCCTTTGCTCGCTTGTGCGTGTCTCTGCCGCCGATGCGTCACACATGTCCACAGCTGTGCTGTCGGCCTTATCTTTCCAGCAGTCTGTTTGTGTTTCAGCTTGCCGCACGCGCGGTAGAGCGGGCTAAATGCCCGCGAGCCGCCGTGGCCCATTGCCCTCCGCCAGCGCCCAAGTGCACCCAGGCCCGCTGGCGCTGCCCGCTCGGTGCCACCGACGGGCGGCACCAGTGCCCGGCGGTTGTGGTGAATATATCACGACACGTTCGGGTGCACTTCCCTGCAGGCAGTCATGAGGTAGGTACCAGCGCCGTTGTTTCTGTCATTGTTTGGACGTGTGTTTCATTGTCTCAACATCGCGTTTTGTCGGCTTTTCGGCGTGTTCGGTGTGGCATCGTGAACCGTCCGTCCACAGTTCCAACAAGCGTACGGCAGTGCGGAGCGAGCTGACCCCACGTCATCGAGCAAGCCCGAAAAGCCGCTGGTTGGACTGGAGGCCATCTCGGACCAGTTCGTTACATTCCTACGTGGGGTCCGGGGTGGCTTGTGCAACCGGCAGAAGTTGCAGCGGCACATGCGGGCGGCAAGTGCCACCGATGCCGGTCTGCTTCCATTTACGTACTGTCATCTGTTGTCACTCGTGTTTCGCGTGTCATCTTGCGTTATTTTCGTACGCCTTGTCCGTCTCATGCAGCGGGGCCCAGAATTGTGCTGGCGGCGAGCTGTCATATAATTGCAGTGCCTAATGCAGGCTCAGTTGCAGCTCCGTCTCCTGCTGCCACAGCTGCTGCCAGGCGGCCGTGCGAAGCAGCTAATGATGTCTCACATCATGGCGGCCCTCGTCGGCCCCCAGCTGGCCATGGAGGGGCCCGACGGCTGGCTGCAAAGACAGCACAGAGCGCACATGATGACAGCCGGGTTATTTAAATCGGCCATCCGCTGCCTGTCCCAGTTGATCACGTACGTAACACTCGACTGTGACAACTCAGGCCTCCTGGCGTGGCTGCCGCGCCTGCCGGTAAGTGCCATCAACAGCTGGCGTACCGACTGTGCAGTCCTACGCGCGACCGCCACCGTTCGCTAATGCCTGGCAATTCACAGGCCATGCTGGAGCGGCTGGCAGCCTGGCAGCGCTACATGAAGCGTGACGATTGGGAGCGGCGCCGTCACCAT